GATAGTACTGGCTTAAAGCTCAGTTGCCACCTCAAGAAGTCCCTCTACGGCCTCAAACAGAGTGGCAAAAATTGGCATACCACACTGACCGCCTTCCTGAGGTCTGAGGGATTCATCCCCAATAGCAACGACCCTTGCGTTTACACTCGCTCCGACAGTAATGGTAAAAAGATCATCATCCTGTTTTGGGTGGACGATATCATAATCGGCAGCACCAACCTCGATACAATCGAAGCCGTGAAAGAGATGCTCAACAGCAACTTTAAGATGGACGATCGCGGCGAACTGAAATGGTTCCTAGGCATTGACTTTAAACGTCTCGAAGATGGAAGCTATCAGATGAGCCAAGAACGATATGCACAAGCAATACTACGACGCTTCAACATGTCCGAATGTAAACCGGCTCCTACTCCTGTGACAAAAGGGGCCACGCAATCGAGCACAGCTGATGATCAACAAAACCACAACTTTCCATACCGACAAGCAATCGGAAGCCTCATGTACCTCATGACTGCGACACGACCAGACATTAGCTGGACAGTATCTTGGCTATCTCAATTCTTAGAAAACCCAACTATGCAACATATTACAGTCCTCAAACGAGTTCTCCGCTACATACAAGGCACCAAGTCATACAGCTAAACTTCACGCAAACCGACGTACAGCTAACAGCTTACTCCGACTCAGACTGGGCGAACGATCCGAAAGACCGACGTTCCGTGACTGGTTATATTACACTCACAGGGTGGAGCACCAATTAGCTGGAGAACCCGAAAACAACCTACTGTCGCGCTCTCATCATGTGAAGCTGAATACATGGCGATAACAGAAGCAGTAAAAGAGCTCTTGTACCTCCGATCATTTTGCTCGTCGCTTGGCATCACCATTCCGCAGCCTGTTATCCTATTCTGCGACAATCAGTCAGCTATCGCCTTGACGCAAGGGAGTGCTCTATCACATAATCGTACGAAGCACATTGATGTCCGATATCATTTCGTACGTGAACAACAAGGTATCGACTACCGGCACGTCCCGTCAGAGAATAATCTTGCAGACATTCTTACGAAGCCCGTGACCACAACTTTACACGAGCGCATGGTCCGGATGCTCCAGATTGCGGGGGCATGTTGAGAGAACAATCATATAACATCCGGTGAACTTTAATACCGGATATGACCTTTCATTAAATTAGCGAATCATAAGATACTTGAACTATTACGTCATAAACGCATGTTGAACGTTTTTACACAGATACATATTTTTTTTACTCGTTGTTGTTACCAATATATTGATATTATTCTTTGGTGTAATAAATGTAAAAAGAGAAACGATGTCTCTCCATTCAATACACTCAACATTAAGATGTACAAAAGTGTTCGACATGCTGTTGGCCAGTTCTGTAACGTATACATGATATAGCTAATATTGTTGTACGGTGGACAAAACAGAATATCTTTTAGAAATCATGATTCGCGCACATGCACAAGATAAGGGTGGCGGTAGTCATGATCTTTGATTTTCCTGTCCAGAATACGAAGGCGTTTTCGGTATGATACGATGAATTCTCTAAAGCGTTTACACTATGTGCTTTGACCTGGCCTGGTCAAGCCCTGATGTGAACGTTGTTTATATTGCCCAGAAAAGGCCGGCCTGGACCTGGTCTAGGCTAAAATATTCAGGCCAATTAACAGCAGAAGGTGGCCCGGACCAGTCCTGGACCTTACCTAATTACCTATTCCTCAGTGGCGTAGCCAGCCTGACGATTTAGTCATGCTATGCAAATTTTATGTTATTATCATTATTCATTTCTTTAGAAATTCATTGTTTTCACAGTCAATGATCACCAAAATATTAGCATAGCATGACTAAATTGTCGGGCTGGCTACGCCACTGCTATTCCTGACAAATTTTGAACCTAATAGTATGATTTGTATAGGGATCCATATGGTATTATCACTTTTCGGCGTGTTTTGAGTCTTTTTTCAGGTATTTCGTCAATTATTTTGAATGGTTTGCCATCCACATGTACAAAAACATTCATTTGGAGGAGTCGTTTTAGGGTAAAAACCCCTCCCACTCCCACTTGAATTTAAAACGTCTCTTTTTCGTCTTAACGATCAGTGTGCATGGCGATATAGTTACTGGAAAAAATATTCACCCAAATATCTATAGTTATCTATATTTTGTCTTTAAAAAATAATAACATGATTCGGAAACATTCTTTAACTTCTTAGACCCCATGAAAGAATCACATCCACTTTTACTTGTTCCATTTAGGGCTGAAAGAAAAAAGGTTTGCGTGAGAATATTGTTTGTTGAAATATTTTTTCATATCTTCCAATTTTTGTTCCCTGGTCATAGTCGACAGTTACTTAGGAGTCCTAAGCCTTGTGCATTGGGGTTGTGATTGAGTTGAATTTATGCAACGGGTTTTTGCTTTAGGAATTTACCTTTGAGAGAATTCGAATTAAGGATTTGATATTCCTAGGCTTTATGAATATGATATTAAAGTCCCTTAATTAACGCGATAACGTTCATTAATTACGCAACCGAAGTGATTTTTGATCGCCATTATTTTCCCTTCGCTGTTGCTATGATACAATGCTGTTGCTATGATACAACACTGTTGCTATGATACAATATGCTGTTGCCATGATACAATGCTGTTGCTATGATACAACACTGTTGCTATGATACAATATGCTGTTGCTATGATACAACGCTGTTGCTATGATACAATGCTGTTGCTATGATACAATGCTGTTGCTATGATACAATGCTGTTGCTATGATACAATGCATTTGCTATGATACAATGCAACAACTTAAATATTAAATATTCAACTAAATTTTATGAATATTCGAATTGACGTCGCCAGCATCGATAAGGAGATCATTATTTATATTACTAGATTAATATTACTATTACTATATTATTTTTTATAATTGTGTTGTGTTTATAATCGGTTGTATCTATGTTGTTGGTTGATAAAATAAAAATAATCGTCGTATTGTCTTTTCAAATAAGCGACATTGATATAAATAATGAACTGAAAACTTAGCCACATCAGTCCACATGCACCTTACCGCTTACTGGCCTGCATGACAATTTTGATCAAGAATTGAAACGCCCCGAAGCTTGATAGGTTTTCATTAAGATTGTAGTAAATACATTTAGTGTAAGATCATAAAAAGTAGTTTTTCACGGCAAATTCACATCCAGCCACATTCGATTTGTCCTCTGAAGTAATAAACTTGGTTTGTTAGAGTTTTTGTTCACGCGCAGAGGTCTCGTACCGAGTTTTTCTCGCCGACCGACCTCTCACGCCTTCTGGGGACTGTATGAAATGCTCCTTTTACTATTCTCTTAATCGGAACGGTTTATTATTATTTCACGCTACAAAAATACACAAATTCTACATTACAAACACAATACACAGATTTTCGATGTCCCGTTAGAAAGTACATCTAGCCAAACAACATTAAGAAACGAACTAGAGATTCACTATAAAGGGCGACAAGGTACACTACAAATTCGCCCGTAGAGTGCGAGAACATATATATTACATATGTGTGTTACAATCGAGCTCCTACCGTTCGAAGTCTTCAATAGGAAGCTATTGTCCTCCACAGTACTCACTAACTATGAATTATTCATAAAACACGACCGAAATATTGTAAACGATGCAGCAACCTTTTGTAGTTTTATTATGCAAATTCCTCGACCAACAACGATTTTTGTTATATCAGGCCACCCATTTAGTCGGGCTAGCGGGCACAAATCAGGCTGCTGTCAAAGGCCGGACCAGTTTTATAACGAGGAAAATTTATTACAAAGCTAAAGATTTTGCCCGTTGCGATTGATATATGCAATCACGCATAGTTTAAAGTAAAAACACGAACGTCATTATGTGAGAGCCATAATTTTTATGAGGTAAATAATATTTTTTCTTTGCTGGCGAAAATAACAATGAACTATTTTTAAAAAATAGATAAAAAAATACGATCGCATTTGCGGTTCGTTTCCGAACTGAATGTTATGAACAGCTGAGAACGAGAACACACTAATTAAACCTCTGCCTTGATGTTCGCGTCTCGACTTCGGTGTGACCTCGGTTCAAACGCGATAAGACCGAGGTTAACCCCGGTTTTTGTCAGGTTATTTCTGGACAGTAATGTCCTTCCTGTTGTAAGTCATAGAATTAGCAACACAGTTTGTTGTAGGAAACTATTTTCAAACACGAAAAAACCTACCAACAGCATCCATAGTTGATATCATGACAAGGATAGTCGCAGATGTAGAATTTAGGAGGACAGTGAAGGATGGGTTTTAGATAACATTTACCACCAATGTCTTCGCAAAAAGCTTTTTTCATTCCTTCGCCACCTACAATATGTTATAATGAAAGCGCGACGTGTTTAAAGACGTATTTGTGTGTATAATATTATGGCGCGCCAGCTATAATAATTACTCTAATTTTCAACTGCAAGTCAACTGCAACAATTATCCGAAAGGACATCACAAAGTTGCGGGTTTCAGTCAATGAATTAGCGAGTAATATAACTATAAAAACCACAAGAATAGAAAAAATAACGTTTACTGGCATGCAAAGGAAGGCATAAAAAAAATAAGTCATTAAATTCCACGCACTTCCTTAGCTATCACCCTGTCCTTACAGGGCCGTACGCAGGATTTTTGAGCTGGGGGGGCAGTGAAGTTCCACTCACGACATATTCATAATAATATTTTAGAATTAGAATAACAATAATCGACGTCCGGGAATTTAAAGCATCATCCTGCTGACTAGATTGGTTATTGGTATACAATAGAATATTACGTCATAGAGTTTTAATTAACATATAATCAGTGTATCCCACACAGATTTTTAAATACGGTACCCAAATATAAAGAAGTGCTGTAAAAGCACAGTATTTAGAGTTCATGATTGGGCCAAACAAAATTGTCATTGTACGTCTTGTTGGTGAATCATCATCACGACATTATATGCGCCATTTTGCTTTTCGTGCGTAAACATCGTCTGCGGTTGGAATATTCGAAGAATCTTGATTAATCATAAGCATGGTAAGTCCACTTAAGCGTTCTTCACCCATTGACGCTCGTGTCCATAACTTAAGGCGCCTAAGTGCTGAAAATGACCTTTCACAACACACACTTCCAACAGGAACTGTCAAGAAAATTGTTAGGATCTTACTAATTGCTGGATAGAATGCAGCATCACACTTTGTTATAGCATCACACGCATTCTTTGGTTTCTCTTTCAAAGGAACATCGACGAATTTCTGTTTCCATCGTACAATTTCCGTATCAAAACCACTTAGCTGGGTAAAAGTAAGAAACTTTCCAAAGAACTCTTTTATATCGTCCAATTTTGCAACAGTTAGAGTCTTCAGATAGACTGGTACAAGTGTTTGGGCAGCTAACAATCCCTTGTGCTCAAAAGCAAATCTTGTCTCAATCTCCTCAACAACCCGATCGATGAAGGGATAGTAGACATTAATTCTGTAATAATCTTCACAAGTTTGATTTGCGTTACCAGAATTTGCGCGATGGCGCTGATTTCTTGCAGTACGTGGCTTTGTAATTTCAACTTCAACAGCGTTTCCCACAGTCTGAATTCTTTCCCATACTTTATTCCAAGAATCATCTGCTCGTGCAGTTCTTATACATTCTTTTGCCCTGTTTACTTCTGCGTATGCTTCTCCAAGATTGCATTCTTTTGCTTGCAATATTTTGGTGACTTCTGCTGTAAATCCTAAAATGGATTGTACTACAACGAGAGCCACGATGAATTGAGGAGATTCCATTAAGCGTATATATGCATTAGCGTTGCCCCTTGGTTCCCCATTACTTTGGTCTGCAATCTGTTCGAGTGTTTTAAGTACAGAAGAATATTTAGCTAACAGTGCTGAAAGTGTTTCCACCCTGGAACTCCATCTTGTAGGACAAAGTTTTGGTACAGTTTTTGTCTTTGTTCCTCTTAAAATTGCCTTTTTCGACTTGTTAAAGCCATGATCCTGAATACTGCTTCCATCTTCATCGCTTTTTTGTTCTTCATCGTTGCTACTTTCCTCGTCGTTCACCTGTCCTTGATTTTCCTTATCGTTTTCATCTTCGTCTTCTTTATTCTCATCTTCCTCATCAGCTTCAGTCAATAAAGCTGTTAATTCGTCATCAACCCCAGTGGCTGCAATCTCTACAAATATATGCTTTCTTTTTGCGCCATCTCCTAAAAAACGTGTAATTTTCCCTACATTGTCGAACAAATCCCGAATGGAATCAATGCCTGTGCAAGCGCCCGCAAGTGCTAGATTCAGCACATGAGAACGGCAATGTACATAAACTGCATTTGGATAGTGATCAGTCACTTTTTTGTGCAGACCATTTTTGCTCCCACTCATCACGGATGCACCATCATATCCTTGTCCAACAAGAGCAGTCAGATCCAGTCCCCATCCTTCCAATGTTGGAATCAAAACATCATAGACGGACTGTGCGTCCATCTTTGTTAACTTGACAAAGCCCAAGAACTCTTCGCATACTTCCAATTTGCTATTTACAAATCGTATACATATACTCATTTGCTCGGTTGAGGAAACATCTGTTGTTTCATCTGCCATTAAACTCCAATACGTCTGTATTTTGGCAATTATTTTCTCTCGAATTATGGACTCGCATATTGAAATGATTTCATTTTGGATGCGAGGAGATGTAAATTTTGCATTCCTTGGAGAATATTGCAAATGATCTTTCAAAGTTTTGTCAAATTCTGATTTCCAGTTCAGAAAAAAAATCAAATTGCCATTTTCCTCACCCCTTTTCTTAATCCAATTTCCTCTTAAGGCTATTCCTCGCATTCCCAATCTGATAATTGTGTCAATAATAGATAATAACCCCATTTTTGAGCGAACTTGTTGCTCAGATATTTGTTTAGAAAGTTTTGCTGCAATATCTGTTCCAGGTTGACGGGTGCTTAGAAAATAGTAGACCATTTCTTCTGCAGCTTTATGGGCTTCACTTAACATGTGATTATTGATGTAGCTATTTTTCCCGGTCGCTTTCTTCCAATTTCCAAATCCACATGACACAAATGGAGAGACATGTAAAGTAGATGAACTTCTTGAAAAGTTATTTTTCTCTCCCCCAAAGCAAATACAGTATGCGCAGAAATGCTTTGTCCTTTACAATGCTATACCGTACCACGGTCTGTCTTGTAACCAAGACGAGTTAAACTCCTACCTGCTGTAACAGGATACTGAAAACATTCGGGCAAAAGGAACTGGATGTCAAAAAAGATAGTTTATCGTCATCAGAAAGCTTTTTGAAATATAAAAGGAAGGGTCATTGATATCATGAACAACCGATGTTGCAGTTTGTTTTGTTCCTTAGTAGAACACAAAGGCAGACTGATATCATTATCAGGTGTTGGCCTGGAAATTTCCGCTTCGAAACTAGAACAAAATCAACAAATAATATTTGCAAAATCATAACAAAATTAGGGTCTCATTTTTGCTAAATAATCATTATTTAGCATAGAAAAATATTAGTGCACGAAAAAAAACAATGATTCGTACCTGTTTAAGTTTATAGCAGTGACTGGTTGAAATTGAAGAGTTGTTTGACGTAGTTTTTTAGCACTTGGTTCCATAATTCATAAGTTTATAAGTATATGAATAATTCAAAATGGCGGTCTTTGTGTTTACCGATTACAGCCTGGTACCTAGTTATGGACAGTTATGGACAGTGGTGGACATTCCACTGAACTCAATATATATATATCGAATATTTTTTGAATTGAGCCTTGTTTCCTAACGTTTGCGTGAATGCAATTACAAAATCTACTACATTTTAGAAATTGCAAGTTGGCTTTCCCATAAGGGGGGCAGCTGCCCCCCCTGCCCCCCCGCTGCGTACGGCCCTGTGTCCTTATGATAAGTGATCCAACATGTTCACATAATCAACAATCTGCACATCCCACATGCATGCTCACATGTGCACCCTAATGATTCCCACGAGAATCTAGTTTACCTTTCTTGCCATGAACACCAAAACCTGCTACAAAGATCATCAGCAACAGACAAATGTTCACACGAAAATTCATTTTTTCTACATGTGTGAGGAAATATGTGTATTAAAAAATTGTGATGCAGAACACAAAACCACCAAAATCTATGGTAACATTATATTTCCTGATGTATAATGTAACATGATGAAAAATTTCATTTTTATACGACTACAATATCAGATCACAACACAAAAGAAAATTTGGAAATCAATTTTATCCTGCAAGCATTCAAAAACAAGATCAAGCTTACCTCAGTTTGTAGTCGGCCTATTTCAAAACTTCGAAGAGAAACTTCATCTAAACAATGATTTGCAGTTCTATTGACCTGCGATATATATAACAACTATATTATTAGTTGATCTAAAAATAAAAGAAATAATGATTTTTTGAGAATTTCGTCAAGGATATATCTATTGTCATTTGTCATAAAAGTATTTATATCGCTGTGTCGGATACGCGTGTCTCGGCTGTAAATTACCAATATCGATCAGTAACGTCCTTTCCGATGGCCGCGTGTGAACGAACGCGCGTATGCGTAACCTGCGAGCCTTTCCATAATAAAAATATGCCTCTATAGATCTAAAACATATGTTTGTTTGCATGCATGCTAGGATATTATTTATCTCTTCGAGTGAGTAAAAATATGGTTAATGTGCTTTTACATTTATCGTCGGGGCTGAGTAACCATCGCTTATTATACACTCATTGAGTTGATGTCATGCATAATATCCCTACTGTTGGACACCGCCAAATTTGGAAACTTGCATGGACTTGGTGAGAAAAAAGGTTTATGAAAACTCAACAGGTTTGAACAAAAGATTTGCATTCGCACGGCAAAAACGAATCTTCTGAATTAATAGCATTGTGTATATTATAAGCCTCAAAATGGCCATTTCACAGCTGTCAGATGTGTATCATGAGCTATAAAAAGATTCCAGAATGCGTATTCAGCAGAAAAATTGACGTTTTCAAAGTTATTCAATAATTTTCTCTTTGATAGCGATACCGAAATTACATTTCGGGTTTTTGAACCAGAGATTAGATTTTCGGGTTGAAACTCCATAGACATTTGTGGATAAGGATAGAATCTAGTCTTAGAGGCGTATTCCAGTCCTAAATTTAAAATTGATAAAGCAATGCCCAATATCCTTACTCAAGGATTTTCCGTATGCACAATACTGTAATATGATGTAATCTGCAAACAAGCACATGCAGCATGCCTCTAATGTAATAGAAGTACACAGGGGCGACCTGGCCCACAGGGATGCGGGAAATAGTCCGGGCAAAATGCTGATAATGTATCAGCCACTGAAATGCACGTAGGAAGACTAATTCAAAGTGATGTTTTTTTTAACCGATCCACTGTGCATTATGATGCCAGACATATCGCATATAAAATATCGCATTTTTTCAAGTTGACATTAATTTCGCATTGTTTTTCTCAATGTCTGAATATGTAATATGGTTAGCATATATCATTACCAGAAATTTGCGACATGATAATTTGCATTTATACTAATTTGCATTTAACTTTCAGCATAATGGCCTTCAACTTTTACTATTAAATACATATAGTAAATATACAAAACCTTAAAATGTCGTTGCCCTAGACCTTGCCCACTGTTTGCCGACCTCTGGGTCAATAGAACAGCCGTTTCCCAACGTTTTAATGATCGAATTACTTACCTTAGGTATTTCTACGTTCGGCCAACTGATTGTGAACAAATGTGTATATAGCCTTCGTATTGTTCAAGTTCCTGATAAAACTGATAATATTTTTTAAAATGATTGCAGTGAAAATTCGAGCCGTACAGAAAAGTTTATACACAAATACGAAAGACAATATCTTTAACAACTTTTTTTGGTATATTACACGTCAATTCATCAACTACCTGAATCGAAATATTCGAATCAATGTGAGCGATTTTATAAGTTCGTTGACAGAACACGGACAAAACTTTGAGCAATATATTTTTAAATTTGGCAGATTACAGAAATGCTCAAGCAAAAAAATTTGGCCACCAAAACGTCTCTAAACAGCTGCTCTACCGATCTAGAGGTCGGCAAACAGTAGGCAAGGTCTAGGTCAACGGCATTTTTAAGTTTTGTATATTTACTATATATATTTTATAGTAAATGTTGAAGGCCATTATGCTGAAAGTTAAATGCAAATTAGTATACATGCAAATTATCATGTCGCAAATTTCTGGTAATGATAAGCTAGAGCTGGAATCTGAGATTCCAGGCCACATGATAGCATGTAATAATTTTTATATGTCCTTGCTGATCTCTGAGACTACCAGTATTACATAATGATTTATGAAGTCGTTCGATCAGAAAATAATCTATAAAAAATATTTAACTTTAAACATTTGCGTGATGAACATAAACAGAAATCCCAGACGCGAATTTAATATTTGACGAGAGGCGATTAGGTCGGCGGACAGAATGGTCGAAGAGGTTCATGTCTGTAATCCATGTGTAAAAATAAATACACATGTAATTGTTATCATCTTACTTGGCTTTATCATCCACCTACCTCGATTAAACTCCTAGCGCTGATTCATCTCCAAACCTTCCGCTGATTCGTTGATCTAAGAATAAAAGGAAAAATACCTTCTAAGTCTTTCGACAAAGATAGTTTTCTTGTCATAAAAGTATTTATATCGCAGTGTCGGATACGAGTGTCTCGCGGTTGTAAATTACCAATATCGATCAGTAACGTCCTTTCCGATGGCCGCGTGTGAACGAACGTGCGTAACTTGAGTCTTGTGAGCCCGCCCATTCTAAAAATATACCTCTATAGATCTAAAAAAAGCAAAATTTTCCATTTCGATTCTAGAGATATATAATACTTAAACAAATTCAAATTAATTCGAGACATAGCACTTGGGTCCTCTTCTAGCTAGAAACGTCACAGTAGGCATTCAGCACAAATTAACGTAGTACAGACTTGCAAATTATTTTTAACAAGACGCCTGTTCTGGCGTTAACTCCGGCGTGGCGCGCACGTGCCAGTCTTCAATATAAAGCTTCTGAACATAAACAATACATTTCATATTCATTTAGACGCCTTGCGAACCTAAATGTTGTTCGATCGCGAAATTCAGAAGCACATCGTACTTTAAAAAGTAGAGAGGTTCAATTGTTCAAAAATGTAAATAAACGGCATGATACATTTGCTTTGTCTTACACTTTGCCTTTGGAATTTGCGCTTATATAGTTATATAAAATCTTAAATCCTGCATGTGCAAACTATGACGAGTCAAAGCGCCCATACACGTTCAACGCGCCCATACACGACCACATCATCTTGTTAAACGGCGAAATAGCAGCGATATTATTAAAATAGGACCAAAATCTACATGTATTAAATATATTCTTACCCCAATTCAATCTAAACTTAGTCGAAAAGCATGAAAAGAACGGTTTATTTGTTGCTCTTGGAGGAATTGCCGTATCATGCGAGCGAATCGAATCGCGCATCGCAAAATTAGCGAAAGCTGTGCACCACAACATTTGGCAGATAAGACTGGGACGTAGATAAATACGGTTACATACACATTTTCAATACTACAATGTTTCGCGCCATTCAGACTTGCGACGACGAAAACTGAAAAAAAAAACAACAACAAAACAAAACCGGGGCGAATTTTCAACTCCGTCGCTGACGCCGGAGTAATAAAGCAAAGAGGCATCGAGATTGCAACAAATATGTCAATTATTCAGTTCAATATGGATCTGTCCAGAAATAACTGACCTAACACTACGGTTGCGGTCTTGGCCAATCGAAACCGCAGACGACTGCCGAGAAAAAATACGATCGCCGTTGCCGTTCGCTTTCAAACGGAACGTTATGAACTGCTGAGAACGACAATTTACACAATAACCAAATCCAAAACGTCTTAAGAAATGCCTGTCAGACCTTATTCGACCGAGGTTCAACTTGGGCTCACCGCG